AGGATGATGATTTAGGACATCGTTTTCCGTGACGTGATCATTGTGCAGTTGTTTGTTATAATTGGACTGCCAGGATTTTATATCCAATCACTGCTTATGTTTCTTATGATGATCTGTCTCCTACATTTCGAGCTTATAGTATGGCCTTATCAGATACGCCGATTCCTCGCTCTGTTGCAGAGGCTATGCAGGAGTCCCACTAGATTCTTGCCATGCAGACGGAGATGGACGCTCTTCAGCATAATCATACGTAGGATCTTGAATCTTTACCTTCAGGAGTGAAGCCTATTGGTTGTTGCTGAGTTTACACCCTGAAATTTCTTACGGATGATACTATTGATCGTCACAAGGCTAAGCTTGTGGCAAAGGGCTTTACTCAGGTACCAGGTCGTGATTTTAGTGCTACCTTTGCCCCTGTGGCAAAATTGACTACTGTTCGATTAATTATTTTTCTGGCTGCGAAGTACTCTTGGCTTTTTCATTAGTTGGATATGAAGAATGCATTTCTTCATAGTGATCTGAATGAGATTATTTATATGCATGCACCACCAGACTTTCGTGGTGAGGGGAAGTATGTTGGAAAGGTATGTCGACTGCGAAAGTCTCTTTATAGATTGAAACAGTCACCACGAGCCTGGTTCTCTCGCTTTAGTGATGTAGTTGTACATTTAGGGTTTCACCAGATGTCATTCTGATCATACCTGCTTCATTCGACAGAATGCTTCTAGACTGTGTCATTTTTTTGGTATATGTTGATGATATTATTATTATTGGAGATGATGTTTCTGGGACTGCGCAGGTCAAGGTAGACCTTGGGAAGACCTTCAATGTAAAGAACATTAGATTTTGCGATACTTTCTTGGGATTGAGGTTACCCGTAGCAGTAGGGATGTTCTTTCTCAAAGAAAGTATGTTCTAGATCTTCTCTCAGACACTGGGATGCTAGGGTGCAAACCGACATCATCACCCATAATTCTAAACCTGAAACTTACTATTAAAGGTGAGGAGTTGAGAGATCCGACTGTCTTCAAAGGTTGGCTAGTAGATTTATCTACCTAGCTAACACTAGGCTAAAAATTTCATTCGCTGTCAACTGAGTTAGTCAGTTCATGCACAGACCATATCAACCTCATCTTGATGTAGTTTATCATATTTTTCGGTACCTCAAGTCTTATCCTGGACTTGGGTTGTTCTATGCATCAGGATCTCAGACTGGTTCTCTAGCCTGTTATTCAAATTCATATTATGGGGGAGCCTGTGACAGTCGATTTACTACGGACTTCTATGCTTTTCGAGAGACTCATCTTATCTTTTAGAAGATCAAGAAACAGTCAGTTGTCTCCCGCTCGTCAATAGAGGCAGAGTATCGGACATTAGCACTTGACACATGTGAGATTATCTAGTTACGATTAATTCTTGGCGAGTTGGGATTTCCAGTAACTTCTTCATCGATATTATATTGTGATAATCAATCTGCTATTTAGCTCGCTTCTGACTCTATATTACACGAGAGGACAAAGCATATAGAGATTGATGTTCACTTCCTTTGGAAAAAGGTTAGCAGTGGTATTTTCACTCCATCGTTTGTGGGGACCAGTGATCAGGTTGCGGATATTTTCACCAAACCTGTCACTACATCCATTCTTCAGGACTCCGTAGTCAAGCTTGACTTAGTTGACATTTTTGCGCTTAACTTGAAAGGGAGTGTTGGAGTTATAACAGCCTACTTTATTAGGGTTTATTAAAAAAATTTCGTTTTTACCTTTTTATCCTTATTGTAACTTTCATTGGCTATATATATAAAAGGGCTCTACACTTAGTTTGTATCCTTTTTTTCACTCACATTTATTCCAAGTCTTGTTAAGTTACTATTCACCATTGCTAGAAAAACAACACAACAATTATCATTTTTGTTCACACCAGATTCTTTGTCGTCGTAAGACTTCAATCTTTTGCATCGTCGTCAATCAGGTTGGTTGCCATTGCCGTTACTATTCCTTATCTCACTTTTGGCTCTTTTTGTTTTGGCTGAATTTTGGAAAAACAAAAAATCTCATCTTTGAACTAGTACCCAAAAATCAAACACCGTCTAGCCCAAAAAAAAAAAAAGTATATATATATATATATATAGCTCACAACAGTGACCCAAGCCAAGATTAAATTCTACCCAACCAAAAAAAAAAAAAAAAATAGCCTAATATCATAATTAACCCATCTGATCTAACCACCTAGTAAACCACCTCATCTCTGAAATTATACAAACACCCCCAAACCTTCCTGAAATTACAAATTTTATCCCAAAAGTTTCAAAAATTACACTTTCACTAGCCAAATGTTTAAGAAATTAAACTTTGGCCCCAAAAAGTTTTTAAAATTACGTTTTGGCCCCTAAAGTTTTGGAAATTACAGTTTGACCCCAAAAGTTTTTTAAATTACAGATTGAACTCAAAATTTTCAAAAAAAAAAAAATCCTTAAAACTCTTTTCCAATGAATATGGTTTCCAACGCTGAATTAAATGCTAAAGTGGAGGCTTTATCCCAAGCACAAGTTGATTCACAAAAAACCATGAATGAGAAGATGGATTCACTAGAGGCATCCATAACATCACTAAAGAAGATGATGGAAGTTTATCTGTTAGAGAAGAAGGGTAAAGAAATTGAGAAAAACGCCTATAATACACCCTCATCTTCAGTCATCAATCCTCCATCGATACTTGCACAAGCTCTTCCACCACGAGCTCAAGTTCAAGAATAACCCAGATTATTTAATGTTGATAAAGGGGTTAAGCTAGAAATTGGAGATTTTCAAGGGGATAATAATCCCGAGACATTCCTTGATTGGTTGCATAGCCTTGAAAGCTTTTTCAGATGACATCGTTTGATTGATGAGAGGAAGTTATTTTTTGCAGAATCTAAGTTAAAGGGTGTAGCAAGGCTTTGGTGCGTAAAGTACCAACAAACTCACTTTGATAGACATGGAATGATATGAAGACTGCTATGACCCACTACTTTGTGGCTGCTAATTATAAGCAACGAGCTCATCTACAATTTACATAATTGAATCAAGAGAATGTGTCTATCAAGGAGTACACAAGAAAGTTCTATAGCTTGGCCACCCGATTAGAGTTCTCATGGATTGAGAATGTGATGATTGTCATGTATAGGCAAGGTCTCAATTCACAAATTTCTACTGGTTTAGCTACAAGTAGACTTTACACTATGGCAGATGCAATTCAGGTTGCCTATCAAATGGAAGATAAGTTGAAAAGAGATGTTATATAAAATCTTATATGGCACCTCCAACTCGGATCGAGAGAACTGTCATAAATGCAAGTCAAGGTAAGTCCACCAATAAATCCCAAGAGAATAATTTTACTCCAAATAAATCATCTCGAACTAGTGCTAATTCTTCTTTTCAAGGGAGTACTAATTCTAAGACGAAGTGTTTTAACTGTCATGGTTTTGGTCATCTCTTTTCAATGCCTTTCAAAATCTGTTGTTGAGGTTTAAAAGGAAAATTTCAAGGTGCATAATGATTCTGATGAGCTAGAATTTGAAACAGAGATAGTAGAATCTCTTGATGTGGGTGAGGTTAATTTTGATGATTTAGATGATCATTTTGCGGGTGTTTTCTGTCCTCTATATATTGCTAATAAAAAAGTTGCTAATTGTGAATTTATTCATTGAGGAAAAATCTTTTCGACAAGAGTTTGTTATGAAGGACGGGTATACTTATTAATAAATGATACGAGAAGTTGCACAAATGTGATAGCAGAAAAGGTCATGAAGAAACTAAATTTGAAAGTTGAACCACATTTGGAACCATATCATGCGGCGTGGATTACTAATACGAAGTTGAAAGTTGATAACAAATGTCCAATTACATTCACCATTGGAAGCTATAAGGAGACCGTTATGTGTGATGTGTTGCCTCTCAAGCTGTCATATACTTATTAAGGCGCACTTGGATATGGAATCGTGATGCACAACATGCAGGGCGTGCTAATACTTATTCTTTTGCAATTAGAAGAAAGAATTATACTCTTACTTGTGCTACTGATGTGCGTACACTACAATTAAAAAAGAGTTTGTTATTGATTCAGAGAGCTTTTCTATCAGATGGTATTCTTGGCCCTTCTCCTTACTCGCCGGAGTCAAGTTCTTTTCAAAGGGGGAGAATTGATAGCACAACTATTAGTTGGTTGGACCAATATAATCGACTTTGGAAGCCCAGGCGAAAGATTAGGAATTTTTTATCTGGTAGTTTTATTATTATTATTATGTGATTTATGAGTATTTATTTGACTAGGAGTAGTAATTAAAATTTAATTAGGAAATTATTACAGAACTTTAGTAGGATAGGGATTGGAGAGTTTGATTATGAAACTCTTTTAGTATTTTAGTAGGAAAGTAGTTTTTATTTTAGTAGGGGACTTGACCTATAAATAATGGTATAATCTCAACTATTTTTATTAGAGAGAGTGATACAATAAAAAGTGATTCTCCATGGAGAATTTGTGTGTTTCTTCACCGATTCCTTTCGAGAATGAAATAAACCCCTTCCACCCCCTCTCATTTCTTCTTCTCTTTCTATTATGTGATTTCTAATCCTTCTCATCCTACATCAATGTGTTCCCACATTATTATAGAAGCAAGCTTCAAGTATTGATACCAATAACTACACAAAAACAAGGAAAGCAAGATGGCAAAAGCATCACTCCCAGAAACAGCCACTAATTAGCAATTAACAATCTATATAACTAAGCTCACAGCAGACAATGACATGGGACCAGATCAGGTAGCAAGGCAACATTTTATACATCCATCTTCAAAAAGTGAACAGCTATAAGACATGGCACACTGATTCACGTTACATGCAGCATACACCATAGGGATAAACTTCAGGGGATTCATGAAATTACAAGGAAATGAGATAGTCATTGTGTGCCGCACAACAAAAAACGAAAAATGAAGCAAAGGCCAATAATACATGTGATGTATCAATACCTTTGAGCATCAAAAGCATTTGACAAGCTGGGAGATGGAGGATGCCTCCCTGGTAGAGGTATGTGAAGCGTCTTTAAAGCAAACATTTGGAGATCTGTCACCAGGCCATTTATCCTCTTAATGTCAGCCACCTAACATATCATACACCAGTACATGAGTGGGGGGTTATGGCACCATTTAAACAATGTATGACGTATTTAGCCGAAAACTGGAATGCTTTCCGTGAAATCAACACAGCTCTCCATGATCCATCCCTTTTGCATGCGTGTAAAACAAAGGCTTCAGCATATTACTGTGTATTTTATGTTAAGCTTATAGCTTTTTTGATTTCCCTTTTTTCTTTTCTTTTCCATTTTGAGGACTCCTTGTTCTCTCTTGTACTTTTATTTGGCTTTAATAAAATTCTTATGTTGCCTGTCAAAAAAATAAAATAAAATGGAAACCAGTGCACTCATTTGGCACCTGTGAAAACATTTGTTAAATTGCAATAGTTTTAGGAAAATTTATGAATAGGTCCAACTTTCCCCTTTCAAGTAATGTAAGGTTTTCTCGATAAATTTAAGTCCTACTTTAGATTATTTGCCGGAAATCATTTTTTTAGTTGCAAATGACCAAAAAATTTTATCGTGAGACTTATTGCAAATTTGCACTTTCTCAGCGGAATACCAACTATACAGATTATTGGCCCTAACTTCACAATCCATTGCAATGTATGCAAAGTCACATCAGCAGATAGCTTCACTACTGACACGTTTGTAACCAAAATCTGAGGGCGCAGAAGACTTACTTTTTCAGCAGAATTTTAGAAAGTTCTAATTTTATTACAGTTAATATAATGTGTTAACACAAATTTGGATAGAACTCAGGTATTTGAAAGGGACATATTGGACTTAATGGTAATTTCATCATACTTCTATCCTTCGAATACAATGAAGAAAAAATTTTGGAGATTGCAGAAGTTTACCTCAACACCGTATTTGATAGCAACACCGGCAAGTGTATCAAATTTGGAGACTGTGTGTTCAATATAACTCACCCCACCAACAGGCCCAGCACCGAGCATCCCGCAATCACCGACCATTCCATTACCACCTCCACCGTTGGGCAATGGAGGAGTCGAACAAGAAAACTGAAACAGCTTCGATGACGATGATGTAGATGAAGCCATCCCCAGATTCAATACAATTCGGTCCAACCAAATCCTTAACGCAATTCCACCGAAATATCTGTATATCCGTGCATTGCTTCGCTCGATCTGAGATAGCTATTAGAGAAAAAGATACATTATTGGTCGGTTACATACGCATACACAGACCCCAAACCGTTTGGATCTGGTGGAGACGTCGTTGATCTCTCTCTCTCTCTCTCCTTCCGGGAAGAGAGGTTGAGGTGGCTACCTGTTATTTTTATCAAAATGGAGGACCGGAATGGAACGGAACAAATGGAGAATGATCACGTTTGTGCTGACAGAAAACAGGCCCTTCAATTCAATTAAGGAATTTAAATCCTAAATAAAAAAAATTAGGGTAAATTTGTCATTATCCACGCATCGCTTGGGTCCAAAACACAAATATGAGTTCAGAACTTTTTACTTCAAGCTGTTTAGATTTTAGGCAAAATTGGCAGCATTCGAAAAATTAACCAGATTTACTTTTTTTTATCAAAAATATATATATTTTTTATTTTCAAAAAGAATCGACACAAACTACGTGTAGAATAGTAATGCAACAGTAATCTATATTTATATTCATACTACTATATGAAAAAATTTTAATTTTTAATTTTATCATTAATTACTATAATAAAGTCAATTATACTCACCTATATACTTTTATCTAATTTTTATTTGTATACATATTTGACTTTCAACTTATTTTAGGCTCTACTATAAGTATTTCTAAATTTTTTAAAAATCATTTATTAGTAGTATAGTTACATACAATTATCATATTTATTGAAGAAGTAAATTGTTAAATTATTAAACACACGTAGTTATCAGGTTAAATTTTACGATCAAATATATGTCTACTTTTTGGTATGCAATAATATAATAATATTATAAGCGATATAACCAACCTATTTAACAAAATAAAAATTAATAATTTTATAATATAATTAGATGTGTAAATGCCTAAAGAGGATGAAGAAATACCTAAATAAAAGACAAATTAGTTACTCAAAAATTTATAGAATAAATTAATAATTAAATTTAGTAATAATTGAAATATAGATTAATTATTCATCACCTAATTTATTATTTAAATCAATTACACATATAATTCACGTTTTTTATAAAAAATAATACTATTTAAATCAATTACGCGATTACGCACGTCGTACATTGCAAAAATTTTCGAATCGATCATGATATTAGTGATGCTTCATTTAGGAATGAAATAATATGCTAATAGCCCACATCCAGAAAGTTTTTTTTTGGTATAATCTTGATTCTTTTCTCTATTACGAATAAACTCATAATTCTACTCTCTTCCTCTTGCTAGATCTAATGTATCATTCTATCCTTCTCTTTTTTGGCGTAACTCATTCTTATTATGTCATCTCTCCTCTTTTTTGACCTTAAATAAACTGTGACGTTAATATTAACTTAAAAGTGAGAATACTACTAAAAATTGTATTTTAGTAAAACGAACCATGATGAAGTGAAGCATAGACTTTTAAATCATTATAATTTATTTTTTTATTTATTTTTGACCTCAACTATAGAAGGCAGGTTAATAGTTTTGCTCCAAACAATTTTCTATAGAAGTGTAATCTGCCAATTAATTAGCCAGATAAGTAGTATATATAGTTACCATGATTTTTCTGTTCTTTTATTTCTTTAATGAAATTATAATTTTCCACGATACAATTGAATGAGTAATATTTTTAATGCCATGTGTATTTCTTAATTATAAAATTCAAAAATATTCAAAATATTAATTTAGTTGTTTAGAGATAATAATAACATACAATATACTTAGTTATGTATCTAAATATCTTAGTAGATAGATATGTATATAAATATAAATACATACACACACCATATATGATTTTAAAAAGGCAGAGGAAAGAAATATTTGAGTTCAATTGTACCCGACACTTAAAATGGGGTTGCGGATTCTTGTGACGCTTTGAGGTTAAAGGTGAGAGAGATGCCTCAGTACTAGTAAATGGATGGCATAAAATTTAATGATTCAGGCTGGACCAAAGTTGTAACCCTATAAATTTAACAAAAAAAAAAAGTAACCCTATAATTCTATCATATAGTGCAAGGACCGCAAGGACCAAACCTCTAACCCTATATCTATTTGTGCAAGATCTAGTAATCTCTAGTTTAGGGGGCAAGGATTACGGGGCAGAGGTAATATCGCTTGAACTATATTCTAGAAGGCTGACGAGAAATAACATAACTACAATATGGCAAATTTTTTGAGATATTGCTAATGATATTCACTAAAGGGGCATAAAACAATTACACATGATTAAGCCAGTTAATGAAGTCATATGTCCCAAAATACATGACACAAAGCACATGTGAAGGACACATTAGGAATTAGTCTTTATTCAAGCTCGGTCCAATGAAAACTAGGGGCTCTAAGCGAAAGTGTTAAATGGGCCTTGTCAAACTTTATTAAATAATATAAACATAATATGTGATTAAAATTTTATTTAAAAATTATTTTTCTCACTTTTTGTGATGCATAATTAGTAATCGAATTTTTATATTTGAGTTTTGCTAGTATATTTTTTTCAATTGATAATATGGCTAATCTATTCAATGTTTCTTATGACATAGTTGATTGGATAGGATTTTATTACTTTTAATTTTTAAAAAAAAAATTATGCAAAAGCCACTGTTATGACTATCGTCAATAATATTCTATAAGAAATAAATGCATTTGGATTGCCAATAATATTTAAAACTAAAAATTCTTGTGAACAAAATATATTTTAAAATAACAAATAATTATACTAAGAGAACAAATCTAATTTGTTATAAAAGTCAATAAGAATTAAACATATAAGGGTTGAATTGACAATTTGTTTGTCTTACAAGTCATTTACTACTTCAAACCTTCACAATAAAAAAATAATAATTGCACTAAATTAATTCAATCAATAAAATATTAAAAACAATTGCTAATCAAACAAATATATACCTTTTCAATTTAATCTAGGTCGTAGGAGAGAGAGAGATATAGAATTACGCAATACTATATGAATTACAATACTTTTTTTACTTGGGTGGAGAGAGAGAATAGTTTACTTGGGTGGAGAGAGAGAGACGGTAAAGAGAGAGAAAGAGAGAAAGAGTCTAGTAGTGCATAGCGATTTGGCACCATTAATAAAGAGAAAGGAGGGTAGACAGTAGACTTTTAGGCTTTAATCGTGGAAAAATGATTTTTGCATTTATTAAAACTTCCAAGTCTTCTAACCTTTGCAAAAAGTGAGAGATGTGAGTTGGGTCCTTGTTTTAGTCTGGGCCTTTTAAGAATTTTCATAAAATTGGGCCTTTTAAACCAAAATTTTTTGGGCCAATTTAAATTACACTTAAAGCCTTCATTATTATTTGGGGGGGCCTTTTTCTTTGGAGCCCCAAACAACTGCTTAAGTGGCCTTCATATTGGGCCAGACCCCTATCTATATTGCAATAATCCGAGCAAATGATTAAAGTGTTCAGCTGACCAAACTGAAAATAAGGCCGACCCAAACTCGCCAGTAGTCTTTCGTATAGAGATCCTTCAGTGAATGAGATAACTAGGCTATCCAGAGAAATAAGGGGTGGAGTTGAATTGATACGAACGTTGCCTAAATCAAAGGTGAATGTTATCAGCGCGCCCTAACAAATAGGAAAACAAGAAAAGAGGTTTCAAATAAATCTTAGCATCTAAAGAGTCAAGCTGAAAGTTAGGTGTGCCACCTAGTATAGCCAATAGCGGAAAATCTTGGCAGAAAAATTGCCGCACAATGCTATAAATATCTGGTGATGCTTGAGTCAAAGATAGACACTTCTTTTCTTGAAATTGTTTTTGTTTACTTTCAGAATCTTTACTAATTTAAGTATCGGAGTGCTTCCAATCAGCCCACCCCCAATCTTTGGAAGTTGGTCATTTTGCAGTATGAACAGTGCGATCCTTGTTCATCTTTCCCTAGTCAAACTCTAATCAGAAGGTGAGAAAATTTTTGCTCTTACAATTGGCGTCGTCTATGGGAAAGGCGAATAAAAATTAGTAATGTCAAAGCTATGGAGTATAATTGGATCACCACGTAGCAATCATAATGCTTATGAATATGACCCTGCTCGAAACTACCAAGTGTCATTCCCTTCTAATAGAAACATCAGAGAGGACATTGTGGGGAGCTCAGGCAGAAATCACGAAGACCTTGACAACATGTCATCATGAAAGTATTACCCTTGAGACGAGGCCCAAAAGACAAGGGATACTAAGAGAGATCCCTATGTGCCAATGGGGAAATCTCAACATTTATGAAGCTAATCCAATCTCTCCATGTCCGGATGGATGCTCATAGCAATATGTTGAAAAAGTCCCAAGAGGGATAGAGAAACTAAGGTAAGAGAATGAGGCGTTGAGGATGGATTTAGGTAAATACATGAACCATGAGGCCTCTAAAGCATCAAACTGAATGCTAAAGTGAAAAACGAGCCCATCCATGCTGAACTGAGTCCTAGCCTAGAAAGGCAAAAAGTTAGGCGAAGAAAGGACACCGAGACAAGAACGGAAGGAAGAAATCTGCTCGGGTCAAGGAGCAAGATGATGCTTGGAAGCTGTTTATAACAAAGGAGCTCGATAGCAGACTAAGACGACCCGAGCAAAAGTTTAGGGAGTTAGCAAGAAGAGCAACGGGTAAATATATTAGGGGAATAGATGTGTCCCACTTAGAAGATGGATAGAGTCCCAAGCAAATTCACGAACCCAAACTTTAAGCTCTACGATGGGAAAACTGACCCGATCATCCACATTTGTTATTATAGATAGTTTATGGTGATCCACAGGAAGAATGAAGCTCTACAATGCACGATGTTTCCAAGAAATTTGAGGGAATTACCAATGAAATGGTTCGATAGTGTAGCTAGGAGTTCTGTCAATAGTTGGATTTAGCTTGTAGAACAGTTCACTGCTCGATTTATAACTACAAATCCTAAATCGAAGGACATCGAAGCTTTGTTTTCAATGAAGAAGCACGGTGAAATATTGTGTGAATATGCTCACCATTATTGGGAGTAAATGAACAAAATAGAAAGTTGTAATTTGGAGATTGTAGTTGCGTCATTCAAGATCAACTTACCGAAAGAAAGTTTGTTGTACCATTCATTGACGAGTAGACCAGCTCTTGATGTGGAAGAGCTAATGGTAAGAGTAGAGAAG